GGGGGTGTCAGACCTTCAGACCAGTTGGCTGGCGCGGTACCGTAGGTGATCAATTGAGTTCGTCTGGATGAAAAAAGTCCAGATGGGCTCCGGAAACAACCCCGACCTACAGCAGTGCGTCCCCACTCAGAAGTCGTCATGGGCCGGCTACCAGCTCTCATGATTCACAGATGGGTCTAGAGGTCTGGTTCTGCTCTGGTTCTGCTCTGGTTCTGCTCTGGTTCTGCTCTGGTTCTGCTCTGGTTCTGCTCTGGTTCTGCTCCGGTTCTGCTCTGGTTCAGTGGGTTCCGTGCGGCTTTGCTGCATCCGCTAGGCACTGATCAGATTAAAACTTTACCTCTGGTTTTTCAGAAGGAAAATGGGACTTCAGGCAGGGCCCTGTTGCCTTCTGGGAAATGTTGTCATGAGTGGGAATACAGTGGAGGCTTACTGAGAGAAAACTACAAAATGGCGGCGCCTGTCCGAAGTATTTCATTTTTTCGTTAACTTTGTACTATACAGTACTGTATCCAGTACTGTACCAATCACGTGAGTAATGTTAAAGTTGGCAATCATGTGTCCTGTAAAATTATTATTTTTTGTATGTACAATGTTATGGACTGTACGTTCACAAACCGCGATAGAGTGAGTCTGCGAAAGTCGAACCAGGAAGTAGCTAGGGACTACTGTACAGACAAATACTAATTTTTATACGCTCGTCAAAGACTGGACGTATTATGGTATAGCCTCCATTCGTACGTCTGTAAAGTTTCTCTTGTCCCACCCATAACTTCTGGTGAAACCATCCACACACATGCATCATCACTGGACGGAGTGTTGCATACGCTTTGGACTTGTAGGTCCAAATTCAAGGACAAATGTTATACAAGGTCTTTGCTTGTCCGTCGGTGGGCGTATAATGTGCCGTATGCAGCACTTTGTTACTTTTAGAGTTGTAAAAACAGCAGGTTGGTCTCTTGCTAAAGTTGTAAAAAATTACAAGAACATGAGCCATTCAAGAAGACTGTAATTTGTTTTAAAAAATTCAGACAAATAAATGCTCCTATTTTTATCCCCACTATGGCATTAAGGAACATTTCCCTTTTTTTTTTTTTTGGTTCCAGGGCATCTTGCTGCAGCTGTTTGGCGGCACTCGTAAAGACTTCAGCCAGACCGGCCGGGGAAACTTCCGCGCCGAGGTAAACATCCTCCTCTGCGGTGACCCCGGCACCAGCAAGTCCCAGCTGCTCCAGTACATCTACAACCTGGTGCCCCGCGGCCAGTACACGTCGGGAAAGGGCTCCAGCGCCGTGGGTCTCACCGCCTACGTCATGAAGGATCCGGAGACCAGGCAGCTGGTCCTGCAGACTGGAGCGCTGGTGCTGAGCGACAACGGCATCTGCTGCATTGACGAATTCGACAAGATGAGCGACAACACGCGCTCCGTGCTGCACGAAGTCATGGAGCAGCAGACCCTCTCCATTGCCAAGGTGCATTTCACAGATTTTCTTTATAAATGTGTGAAATTATTTAGGAACGTACAAGTCAGAGCTTGAGACCTTAAACAGAAGCTTCTCAATTAGTTTTCTTCTTTCTCTGTGGGCAGGCGGGGATCATTTGCCAGCTGAACGCCCGCACTGCTGTGCTGGCTGCTGCAAACCCTGTGGAATCTCAGTGGAACCCCAAAAAGACTACGATTGAGAACATTCAGCTGCCTCACACCCTGCTGTCCAGGTACTGGCATGCAGTCTGTTATAGATTCATTAAAACAGAATGGGTTAGAAATGGGTCATTTTTACTCAAACTACCGTATTTTCCTCTGTGCACGTCGCTCCGCCCTATAAGTTGCATCAGTCCAAATATGTATAATAAAATGGAAAAATCCATAAATATGTCGCTTCGCCGTATACGTCACATCTGTTCTGCGTCACCGCTGACGCGCTGTTTGTTACACGTGACAATCCAGAAATGTGGGCCGGTGTTGTGCCAAAAATTGATAGGCTGCTAAATGGCGCCCGCGGGAGCATGCACAGGAGAACTTTAACAAGAGTTTAACAAGATTAACACTTAAAAATAATTATTTGTTTGCTTGAAATTATAGCAAAGGTGTGTCTCAGTCTAACTTTTGCTTTTATAAATGCACTTTGACGGTCAAATCAGCTGCATCTCAAAAGCCGATACGCGGAAGTAGGAACGCGCAAAGGGACGAGTCACTGTGCGTTTCTTCAAAATTTAACAAGATAAACACCTAAAAACAATTATTTGTTTGCCCAACTTTTTTGTAAAGGTGCGTCTTAGTCTAACATTTGCTTAATAAAAGGACTTTAATGGTCAAATCAGCTGCATTTCAAAAGTATTTGCTGCCTTGGTGCTCCCAGGAGCATATAGACGGGGAGGAAATTAGAAAGGAGGGATACTAGGTGTTTCTTCAAAATTTAATGAGATAAGCACCTAAAACAATTATTTGTTTGCTCGACATTATAGCAAAGGTGCGTCTCAGTTGAACTTTTACTTAATAAATTTACTTTAATGGTCAAATTAGCTGCATTTCACCAGGGCGGTGCAGCAAAATGAAGCTGAGCTCCAAGCTGTGAGTAGAACGAAGATGGGGAAGTATGGCAAGCCGATTGTGTCATTAATAGCTGCTGAAGATTCTCAGTCATCCAGGACATGGTAAATTCAAGAAAGTTCAAGACAAAAACAGTAAAGTATAAAGTATTTTAAATAAAGTCCAGTTGTTTTTGTCTTTAACTTTTTGAATTTGTCATTATAGCCACTTTTCCCTATTACATGATACAACGGAATGCTATACAACTCTGGTGCCATCTAGTGGCTGAAAATGGTAGTGTTCAATCTTTTTCAGTCAGAATGAATGAAAACGGTCATATCTCAGCCAAATATTGGTTTATAAATATGGAAAACGATCCGTAAATACGTCGCTTCGGCCTATAAGTCGCAGGGCATATAAATTATGCAAAAAAAACACAACTTACAGGCCAAAAAATATGGTAATCAGCAGCTTTGAGGCTGTTTCTCATAAGTTGAAGTTTCGGCATCCTTTTTTACATATTATTTGGATTAGAGTGACAGAGGCAGGATTATTGGAAAAAACTGCACACTGAAAGTCTGATCACATTAGCAAACATGCTTGATTTGATTTTGTTTGCTCTTTTCATTTAAAGTAGAAAATGAAGCTAAATTTAATGTGTAGTGTAGTTTTTCTTTAAGATGCCAGTTTAAACTTGACATCGATGCTCCCTCATTCACACAACATGTTTCACTCCTTCAGATTCGACCTCATCTTCCTGATGCTGGATCCCCAGGACGAGGCGTACGACCGCAGACTGGCTCACCACCTGGTGTCCCTGTACTACCAGAGCGAGGAGCAGATGGAGGAAGAGTTCCTCGACATGGCCGTGCTGAAGGACTACATTGCATACGCGCGGACGTACATCAGCCCAAGACTGAGCGAGGAAGCCAGCCAGGCCCTCATCGAGGTTTGTTTATTTCCGTCGACCGCAGGAAGCATCCGCTCTGTGTCCGTCTGTTAACGGCTGCAGCTGACCTTGGTCTTGCTCGTCCCCTCAGGCCTACGTTGACATGAGGAAGATCGGTAGTGGTCATGGGATGGTATCTGCCTACCCCAGACAGCTGGAGTCGCTGATCCGCTTGGCTGAGGCGCACGCCAAAGTCCGCTTCTCCGAGAAGGTGGAGACCATCGACGTGGAGGAGGCCAAGCGGCTGCACAGAGAGGCCCTCAAACAGTCAGCCACGGACCCCAGGACAGGATTTGTTGACATCTCCATTCTGACAACAGGCATGCATCAAGGGTCCTTTTTTTAATTTGCATGAACACGATCAAACCTTTAAAGCCTAGCATTCCCTGAAGGAATTACTTCAGTTTGTTTCGGTGCAGGGGGAGTTTCCCTGGACATTTAGGTGACAAGGTTTTATTTTTAGAATGTCTTTTGTCACAGCAAGTTCATTTCTGTGCGTCGTTTCCCTGATTTACAGGCATGAGCGCCACGGCCCGCAAACGCAAGGAGGAGGTGGCCCAAGCCCTGAAGAAGCTGATTCAGGCCAAAGGAAAGACACCAGCCATGAAGTACCAGCAGCTGCTCGATGACCTCAGGGGACAGTCTGAAACCGTAAGTGTTGTAAAATCCAAGACTTTATTTTACAAGTCAACAACAAACACTATGTACCCTGACTATAGTAATAACTAGTTGCTTTCTTAACATTTTCAAGATTATAAATAGCTTCTCTCACTTCCTGGATTCTCTTCCTCTTCTGTCACGCTGTTTGCAGGCGATCACTAAGGAGCTGTTTGACGAGGCGCTGCGAGCCCTCGCTGACGAGGACTATTTGACCGTCACCGGAAAAACCGTTCGTCTGCTCGCTTGAAGCAAACGGCTGTTGTTCCTTATATCCATGACCTTTACTCACTGTAAAAAAAGAAGTTTGTATAATAAGCAACATTTGTTTTTTTAGGGGGGGTATGCTACTCAGATTTAAAGACGAGATTCAGAATTACTCCATGTCTTTAAGAATTAAAGTTACTTATGATTTAAAGATAAAATATGGATGAAAACATATAGAGGCAATAAATGGAGCTAGTGTTGTTACTTAATTTGAAGTTATATTTCTGCTCTGGTGTATTATGTGGTATTGAAATGTAGCGTGCATAGACTTCATGTTAATAAAATGTTTAATGAAAATGTTTGGATGGTTTTATTTTTAGCTCTATTTGAACTATTGCGTCCTGGCTGTAGTTTTCTATACTTGTTCATTACAATCTAGCAGGTTTTTGCATGGTTTTATTAAAGCCGTTTTGTATTTGTAATGTGGAAAACACATTAAATTGATCAAATAAATGGAGAAACTACTTGAGACAGTAACATTTTTAAACCTCTAATCAAATCTGTGTATGGGTCATAGAAGCAAACTGATTTAATTGGCTCAGTTGAAGCTTAATTTTAAAATCAGGTGGTGTAACGTGTTAAAGGCAGGTTCTAGGAGGGCGTGGTGGGCCTGGGTTAGAACTTTGAACTACTTTTTTTTTTATCCACCTAGATTACCAGCAAAACCCAACTTCAATGTAATATTTAAAGTCTGAAGCAAAATAAAACTGAAGATATGCCAAATGAAATTAGGAGAAATTCTACTGTCACAGTTGGCTTTTTATTTTTTTTTTTACCTTTGCTGCACAGATCAGGCTAAACTAGAATATATATTCATTTATAGAGGACCTAATTTTAAAATGAACATTTTCTCTTAATGTCATAACCAAAGACAAATCACTGGAAACCAATATAAAACGGAGCACTTCATCTCAATGTTTTAAGATTACACAGAGCAAATGAAGTTGCAAAACAGAGTTCTGGTTTAAAAATAAAACTAATGTCTGAGGCCCCAAAAAAGTAGACCCAATACCTAAAATTATGAGGAAAAAAAGCTAAGAATTTAAATTAATAAATAGATTTTACTGCATGGGTATCACCAAGTAATTAGTCATTGAAACTAGTGCTAAATTGATTTTACTACTATTAAAAACAATTAATGAAAAGTAGCAGAAACCCATTAAAAATCAACTGGAAATAATAAAGCACTTAATTGACATACAGTAAAGTATTTCAACTTTTTCATAGACAATAAGAAAAATAAGGTGTTTGAAGAGTATTTATTACAAAATAAATAAACAGCTCTTGGGCTCTAAAATTTTGTGGCCCTGAGACAATAAAACCATTTGTTTGTATTTTATAGTAAACTGTCATAAAATATTTTAGTGGTGCAAAACAACTCGGCACTGCAGACTATAAAGACTAAAATCAAGAAAAAATGAGGATGGAGAAAACTTTTGCCTCCAAATACAATTTATCAAGCCATGTCCCCATTAACGCAGTGGAAACCCATACACAAAAGCATCTATTTGTTTGAAAAAGTGCAACTTTGCAGTTTTTAGATAGCTAGACGTGTAACACGGAGGCATGGAGGCTGCACAGCTGAAGAAAGGAAAGCTCTGCAGAGAGTGGTGAAGGCTGCACAGAAGACTGTTGGAGTCAGTCTCCTCACCATCACAGACATCTACACCTCCAGATGCTGGAAGAGAGACACCTGCATCATGAAGGACCTCACTCACCCAGCACACACACTTTTTGTCCCGCTCCCCTCAGCCAGAAAGTTGCAGAGCATTAAGTGCAGAACCACTAATGTTAGAACATTTAAGTGCAAATCAGTATTAGAATGTGTGCAGTGAAAGTTGCACATCTTCTCCCACTTATTTTAATAAAGGCATGTGTGAAGAATTGTTTGCAATTTAATTGGAGACGTTGGAAAATTTGTGAACGAAAACAGGAGTCCCAACAAAGTTAAGTCAGCTCCTCTGGACGGTTTATTTCTTCTTCTTTTTTTGGTTGTTGAAACATTTCGTCCTTCATCCAAAGGACTTTGTCAGTGAATCAGTCTGAGGAGCCACAACTAACTCAGTCCCACAAGCAGCACACTCGCATAATGGGTCAACCAGTTTTCTGGTGATAAGATGGTTTCTGGAATCCGCCATCTCCCCTGTCGACTCCTCTGAGGCAGCCATAGCCAAAGTGGTTAAAAACATCAAAGTTCATATAATCCAGGTAGAAAAATCCACCAAAGTTAAGATCATCTGGATGGTTTCTTTCTTTTTTGTTGTTGTTGAAACAACAAAAACTAACCATCCAGATGAATTGACTTAACTAACTTTGTTTGACAACGTCCTTTGGATAAAGAACGAAATGTTTCAACAATAAAAAAAAAAAGAAACCGTCCAGATGACCTGACTTAACTTTGCTTGACAAAGTCCTTTGGATAAAGGCGAAATTCAACAACAATAAAAAAGAAACCACCCAGATGACCTGACTTAATTAACTTTCTTTGACAAAGTCCTTTGGATAAAGGACGAAATGTTTCAACAATAAAAAAAATAAAAAAAGAAACTGTCCAGATGACCTGACTTAACAAAGTCCTGACAAAGTCCTTTGGATAAAGGATGAAATTCAACAACAACAACAACAAAAAAGAAACCATCCAGATGACCTGACTTAATTAACTTTGTTTGACGAAGTCCTTTGGATGAAGGACAAAATATTTCAACAAAACCAAACAAACAAAAAATGTCCTGTTGACCTGATTTAACTTTGTTTGACGAAGTCCTTTGGATGAAAGACGAAACGTTTCAACAACAAAAAGAAACCATCCAGATAACCTGACTTAACTTTGTTTGATGAAGTCCTTTGGATGAAGGACAATACGTTTCAACAAAAAACTAAAAAAATAAATGTCCAGATGACCTGTCTTAACTTTGTTGGATTTTCTGGATTATTGAGCATGAACTTTGATGTTTAGAACCACTTTGGCTATGGCTGCCTCAGAGAAAAGAGGGTGGACTCCAGAAACCATCTTATCACCAGTAAACTGGTTGGCACACTTATCTTATCACAAGCAAAACTGGTTTGTTCTACTTTGGAGTAAGCTGTTGTGGGAAGAATCAGTTTTGTTGTGTGTTTCCTTGACTGATGAAGCCTTCTGGATCAAAGGCGAAACGTTTCAGCACAAAAAAAAACAAACAAAAAAAACTGTCCAGATGACCTGACTGAAAAATGTTGATTGTGGGACTGTTTGTTGTGGCTCCTCAGACTGACGAAGTCCTTTGGATGAAGGACGAAACTTTTCAACACAAAGAAACCATCCAGAGGAGCTGATTTAACTTTGTTGGATTTTTTTTTACCTGGATAATTGTGCATGAACTTCGATGAAAACAGGAGTCCTATAATGAGTTTCTCTGACTTGAGCAGTCCAGATACAGGTGTGTGAGTCCGCTCAGGTCCTCTTCAGATGTTTTACTGTAATAAAGGTGTGTGAGCTGCAGTGCGGGAACCCGCCGCGCCACCGTGCTGCTGCTCGCTCGGATCCTCCTCTCATGACACACCTCTGTGCTTCTGGACTCGACTGAACATGGCGGCCTCCTCAGGTTTGTGTGCTTTCTCACATCTACACGGACACAAAAAGCCGCTTAAGCTCGTCCTTCTGTGCTGTATGTTCCGCTGGACGTGGCGATTTCTGGACACGGTGTGATTATACCGCCGCTTGCACCTCCAGTAGTCCCATTGTTGTCATGTCGGTGGAGCGCTGGCTGATCTCTACGGGACGCATCTATGTCGTGGAGCTAAAGCAAGGCCAGTGCCTTGTGCTCGCGAGTTAGCTGAAATGGAACGAGGCGTTAGCAAGAAAAACGTCAATCTAGCTGGTATTTCGAATTTCTATGTATAAAAATCCAGTCTGATTATTATAATGGGCCAGTAATGTTTAATGGCTTGATTTATGAAGATTGCTAAACAGACGCAGACGGCGCCGCTAGCTAGCATGGCGGCTAATGTAGCAACCGGAATATTCCAGCACCGCGCCGAGCCCGTCAGCTAGATACCCGCGAACACGGAAATGTTTCGATTCTTTCAAGATATGTAAACTGCTTGTCATTAATTTGCAGTAGTGTATGAATGACATATTATGTAAAAAAATGTTCTCTTTCTGTGACACACCGCACATAGCAAGAATAAGCGTGTTGACGGGACTTGGAGCCCATTCGAGCCGCCGCTGTTTGCTTTCGCTCCACGCTTGCTAGCTCTACCAATTCATTTTTAAATGTTTTAAAAATTATTCAAATTAAGCATTAATATTCTGCGCCATTATTTTTATGTATTGTGGACATTTATTGTTATTGGACTGGCGTAAATAAACTGCCCGGGATAGTCACGTTTTGTAGCTAATACAGATGGCACGCTTCGTTTCAGCAAATAGTCGGAGCCCACATCTGCACTATCACTCAACTGCAAGCGTGGTTTCAAAGAAAGCCATTTGAATTGGCTGATTTAAAATTTAACTTTTGTATGGTTTCCCCTACAACGTTTAATCTAATTTTCTTGCGCTTCTGGTAAAGTACACTTACTGAGGGGACATTACTGTAAAATGTAAAGTGATGAAAGTAGGAAGTAAGTTGCTGATCCAAACTGAATTAGTTGGCTTGGCCTGTCGAGTTGGTTTTAACCCAACTTGTTTAACACATGGAAACATACCAGGGAACATAACTCAAATTTTTGTTCAGCCCTACATTTCTGTAATGAAAACACAAAGGAGTAAAGCTAGAATAATCACATATATAAACTAAATGAACTGAGTTGGACAAAACTGAAGGATTGGCTTTATGTCACGATACCAAATGTTTTATGGCCATTGTAAGGTTAGTGTTTGTGTTTAATTGACTAATACTGCTTAAAGTGGTGTCTCACTAGGCTGCGACTGTTTGTGACTCTATATTGCACGAAAAAAAGCAAATTTTAAGTTGCAATTTCACCAAATTCTGAGTATTTGTGCAACCAGCTTTTTGCAAACCATTGTTTTAGGCTGTGCACATTATTATACTGAGCATGATGACTCAGTGGTTAGCACTGTTGCCTCACAGCAAGAAGGTCCTGGGTTTGATCCCCGGTTGGAACTGGGGTCTTTCTGAGTGGAGTTTGCATGTTCTTGCGTGGGTTTTCTCCGGGTGCTCTGATTTCTTCCCACAGATCAAAAACATGCATGTTAGGCTGTCTTCATGCCCAGGCCTCCCTTGCAGAAGAGATCTGTGATCTCGATGGGATTTGCCTGGTTAAATAAAGGTTAATAAATAAATAAAATGATTTTGTTGCCTGTCTTGTATCTACTTTGGCAGGCTTCATACCTTACTTTGCATCCGCCTCCCGCGTTTATGATTTAATCTTCTGAAGTAGATTTTTGCAACAAAGATGGGCAGTTTTAGTCTGGTTCTCTAATATTACTATTTAGCATTGGTGTTGTTTTTAGACCTGGACGTGTCAAAGGAGATCAAAATAGAACTTTTGCTCTTCAGACGAGTTGGAGATGCCCGCAACAAAATTAAGACGACTTTGAGGTGTGCACATTGACTGGCTGTTTTGGGGTAAAGAAATGTCATACACAATTTTTTTTAAACATGTTCAAACTTCAAATGTGAAGTCTGCAAGCCTCTGCCCCTTGAGCAAGAAAACTGAGAACCCTCGCAAACGTTGCAGGATTAGTGAGATACTACCTCTAACCATTTTTAAGCTCATTTGCAGACGTTTCTTTTTGCACATTTTAAATATTTGAAAGGATTTGATCAAATCAGCAGTTGTTGATGTCTTTTCTATCTTGTGCACCACAGTGTTATTCTTTGATAGCTTAATTGTGCTAAATTAACTGTTAATGTGTGCACAAGTTTGTATGCGAGTACAGACAGAAGCCTTCAGTACTGGTACTTTTATGCTAGCAAGTACCTTTTCATGAAATGGAAATTTAATTTGTTCTTTCATTCTGACTGCTGTTGAGCCGAGGTGGAATATTAGTTTTCAAAATAATTTGAAGTTTGACCGCGATGATTGTTGAGCTCCAAGGAGGCGAGATGAGCATTTCAGTGACGGTGAGGTTTTAATTTCGCTTTCAGTGTTCTGCCTCAGTCACAAGGCCCTTTTTTTTTTCTTCAAATTTCCAATTTGAATTCAAAATCATACTTTTGAATAACAATCATTTTTCTCTCTCAGCTTCTACCCTCCTACAGTCATAAGCTGCAAGTAGCTCATCATTCTCGGCCCTCAGTGCTTGTCAAGCTGCACATTTGATCACAACACATCATCCATTTTCTGACTAACTTTTTTTTTCCTCCCCTGTAGCTAAAACACCTGAATAGTTTTGCATAATTACATCATGGATTCTGGTCACGAGATGACTGGATGATGCTCTGAATCATTTGGTTAAAGTCAGCCACTATAGGACCATGTGCATCACATCTCATGACCATTCCCAAACTGTCTTCAATACTGCAGGTTCATACAAAGCTTCACCGTCAACTTGCATCAGATGGCTTTAAATAAATGTCTTGTGACTAAGATTTCCAGTTAGGTGCAGTTGGAAAACGCAGTTCAGGCTGTAGGTTTTCTGCACCAGCTTGTCATTTCTTGTACCAGTCAGTCCTGTTGTCACATGTTTTAAGCTCCTAGGTCACATAGATTTATTGTCTGTATGACTGAAGTTTCCACGAAATTAACAAGTTTTAACTCGACAGTGCTCTTTGATTTTGCATTCACTTTTATAAAATCCGAAAAAGTGGTAGAGTGAAATAATCTGGGAAAACAATCAATAGCTACTCTGTTAATCAGCTACTTGTTTTAGCTTTTATTTATTTAACACTTTTAATAGATTTAAATATAACAAGTTTGCTTGTAAGCAAATGTTTTGTAACAGTCTCAGCTTATTTAACTCCACAGCATGAGATGTTAATGCAGTTCCCTACCATTATACATGCGGGGCGCCACACCCCGTTAACATAACCGAGCGCCCCACGAACTGAACTGTGCGCACCCCACTGCCTAACGCTAAGCTAGCTGCGCCCAGTACAGGCACGCTAGCTAAAAAGCTAAAGGCAGCGCTCACGGTGCCTCTACCCTCACGCTGGAACACCCCCACCCTCCTCGAAAACAGCCGGTACAAACAGCAGCAGCTCAGCTGTGTGTCTGTTTCTCCCCCACCTCGAAAACTGTGGAAACACAATGTGCAACTCAGATGTGTTTCTCTCCCCCCGTTGACAAAAATCACAGATGAGATGAGCACCCCGCCATGGCAACTTATCTAGGGGAAACACTGTAATGGTATTGAGATGTTTTATCTACAGCCCCCTACTGAAGCACTGTCTTTTCTGATATTAACCCTACTGCTAACTCCTGGAATCATGTCAGTAAAAATGCTTGGACTTGTTTCGTCCTCATCTTGAGCATCAGAAGCACCCAACACTGTGTAGGACAGCTCTGACCCTTGGCTGCAAATAGGTATTATATGGGGGTGTCCTTTGTTGTGTGCTATTTGTTGTGTTTGTCTGAGCAGATTTTTCAATGTGGGAGCTTCGGTTGCACTGTCCTCTGAAGGAGGTCACTTGTGTTTGGGCTTCTGATTCTGCCTGATTTTTGAGAATGTTAGTGTAACACCCGCAGTGAATGTCAGGGTCAAAGTTTACCCTGTAGGACAGTCCAGTGCCCTTCATCTGTAAGTGTAAATTCAGAAAATATGATTCTCAAATGTATTCTTAAAGCATTGTTGTTTATTTTGTGCAAAAGTGTTACGACTTTGACAAATGGAGTAGTAATTGGAGCTTTTGTGATGCTCAACATTCATCATTGCTGTTGAATTTACAATACCAGTTAAAACATTTTGGATAAGATAAGACAGACACCTCAATGACAAGGCTCAATTTATTCTACTTTTATTTATGCCATTTACCAATAAACATATTTAGCACCAATTTAACACCGTATATATTCTGTTTTGGTCACCTATAGGAGTCAAGGTTCCACGCAATTTTCGCTTGTTGGAGGAGCTTGAAGAAGGCCAAAAGGGCGAGGGCGATGGCACAGTCAGCTGGGGCCTGGAGGACGATGAAGACATGACTCTCACACGGTGGACAGGCATGATCATTGGACCCGCAAGAGTAAGCAGGACGTCCTTATTACAGAAAGTCCACTTGTGAATAGATGCGTTCTAACCAAATCTAAGTGCATTTTTCTTTTGCATCTTGACTTTTTTATAGACCAACTACGAGAACAGGATATACAGTCTGAAAGTGGAATGCGGACCTAGATACCCAGAGACGGCGCCGACTGTTAGATTTGTAACAAAAATTAGCATGAATGGGATAAATAATTCCAATGGAACGGTAAGTTCCTTTGCAGATTTGACAAACATATATATTTAGTTTAGATATTGGAGAAGTAAGTCACCATCGATATTATTGTCACAATGATTGATGTATTTTTTCCCCTTCTCCCCTTTCTGTCTTACAGGTGGATTCACGTAGCATACCAATATTAGCAAAATGGCAGAATTCCTATAGCATTAAAATTGTTCTTCAAGAGTTAAGGCGTCTAATGATGTCCAAAGAAAATATGAAGCTTCCACAACCACCAGAAGGACAAACCTACAGCACCTAATCGTAATGGATTGTTTCGACCCTCTGTCTTAAACCCTATTCTCTTAGAAATATTGTGTAAAGTTATCAAGAGGCTCAATTCACACATCAACAGTATCGTCTACAAGAGCAAGATTGGACTTTCTTATTACATAGCTCATTAAAAAAAAAGAGAAATCTCCCTGCAGTTAAGCACCGAGTAGATAGTTATGACGTCAAAACCACAGTTATCTGCCTTTATTCAATAGTTAGTTTGACAATGACTTTTGTGTTTGACCTGTTCCAGCTTGAGTAGGCTTGAAGAGGGAAGCATGATGCCATACAGGTTGTACCGACGCCCAGTTTTATGTTCAAATGATGAATCACTGAAGTAAATGACAAGATGGGTGTTAGAGGACATGTTTTGTAACTAATACCTAGTCAAAGAGAAGCCAGGTGTTTTGAATTGTTAGTTAAAGCAGTTTCACTGAAATATCCAGACTGCTGAATCTTTGGCTGTAGTTTAAAAGTAGTGTCACAAGGTGAGCTTTTTTTTTTTAATATATAAATATATATCTGTATTTGACACAATACCAATATGTTTCTGTTCTGCAGCTCTTTGACATGTAATGGACGTTGAAGCCTGTCTGTTCTGGAAACCCTTGCATTTAACTTCTAGTGTAAATGGCAGGTGTTGGAAATTGTGATTTTTCTCAAATTAAAATCACTGCGAAGAAAAAACGAGAACAAAAAAGCTCAATGTTGGCGTTTGTTTTGAGTCCCCGTCTTTACTTACACTTTGTGTTTCTTCCACAAGAGGGCCGTCAGTGACGAGTTAACTTCTCTTTGCAACTGGACACAGGGTTCATGCATCATGTTGGTCTGTAAGAGTGACACTGCAGGGTGATGTGACACTGCAGATACTTGCTATGCACATGCCAACACTCGCACGTTGTTTCAGAATAAAACAGTTTTAACATGCCATATGTAAATGCTCAGTATTTGTTAGCAGATGCATCAAGTAGCAGTGAGAAAGAAGGTATGGTTCCTTAATTTCTTTGAGAATTTCTGATTTTTATAATCAATATCCAATAGGCTTGGTTTATTGTAGAGGAGTGTTTGCTGGTTTAGTCACAAAAAATGATCTGTAACATCTATTTTCCCATAACTACCCCTCAGTAGTGGTTTAGATATTTATTATGCTCAGCGTGGTAATGCACGTTCATTTTAAAATAACCGTTTTGTGTATGAATCTTGATAAATCTCGTTTGAAGACGCCTGAAAGCCTTTTTTTTTTCCCCCCCCTTCAGATCTGTGACCCGTTTGCGTCTCCCTCAATGCCGAGACTGGTTTTGGGACTGAAGTCTGAATGCCACGCTGACAGACTTGCAAGGCATTAATTCTAAAATATCTTCTGGTTAGCAGTGCTGTTATACAAACTATCTGTGCTACCTTGCACAAAAAAACAAATCTTTGTTTTCCCAGGATGTGCCTTTTACATTTAAATAAGTCATATATTTACATAAGGACAAATGAGAAAACAAGCTATTCTAAAAAATGCTTGAGTTATTAATTGGAGCATTTGCATATCAAAAGTCATCATTTCTATGTTTAAGACACATTTGCATAAAGTGACCTTTTGTGTTTGTGTTAGTTTTTCCCCTTTTTGTCAAATCGTAGCCTCTAGAGGGCGCTCCATCTCCATGTACCCCACCTAGCTGAGTTTAAAGGTGGCTTTGGTTTAGAGGACATGAGTTGTCAGAAAAGGCATTGCTGCTGTGATGCTTGCAGGCTTAATTTGTGCATGCTGTCATTGTTCCTCAGAAAAGTGATGCCTCTTGCACTTTGCTGCAGGGAGTTGGAGCCTGGCTCTTTAGGCTTCAGCTAAGGCAGTCGCTGACCTCATACATCATCAAGCTGTTGCACTTGATCACATTAATAGATCAATAGAGTTTTTAAAATGTTTTTATCTATGATGGCATAAGAGAGTTATTTTGATTTGTGTGTGGGCATCTGGGTGTGAGATGAGTCAGTGTTTGCTGCGGAGGATGACCTCGCTCTTCTTCAGCCGTCTTGAGACGAGCTCTGCCTTTCTAGATGTGACAGTTTATGTATGGGATCAGCTTCTCTCTCCTTGTTCTGTTTTTGCCTCCGCTTCTCACTGGAAGTCATGAATACAAATCGGACGTGTTCGTTGCAGCCAGTTCACTTAGCAGCTCTTGTCATCCCCGTGTATAAGACGCAGCCTCAGGTTGCACATGCTTCTTGTATTCAGCCCATGTATTTCTGTGGCTGAACATTTAAATGGAAGTAGAAAATCTTCACTCAACTACTTAACCTGTAGCCCCATCAGCCCAACGTTTTAAAATCGACCACGTGCACAAAAAGCACCAGCTGAAGACTCAGTAAAGTGTATTACGGTCATGCCACCTGTTTTATACTGGCAACAAAATAAAGACTTCTATTCCTCTCAGTTGGTGGAAGGCAGAAAAAGCAGTTCACTGATCTAAGATGGGAAGGAATTTGTTGTGGGGGGATGGCGGACGTGCATCTTGCCTGCTGGCAGACTGCTGGAACCAGACCTCTGCTCCCAGAACGTTCACCTTTTGCCCCAAGAGACCCAAAGGTCGTGACTTGTCTCTGTTGATACTGTAAAAAAAAAAAAAAAAAGTCTTTGTCTTCTTTATGGCCGCTGACGGGAGGCTATGTCCATTTTTTCTAAGAAAGCCTGTTTGTGTCCATTCTCCAAGTCCTTGGCAGGACTTTTGGGGGGTTTAACAGAAGACAGATTTCAAGTGGTCCCTTTGTTTTTGTGGGGCTTTCTTCTTCTCGCTGGTCTTTTAGTCTCGGCATTTTTTTATATAGATTTTCAGGTTTTGTTTTGGGGGTGTTTGAATGTTCTGGTGCTCCTTTAAAAAATTTTTCTTCAAGCTTCAGCGACTCGTGATATAACTGCCTCGACTTTTTGCAGCAAACCGAGGGCTCTTTTGCATAAAATGTTTCTGTAGTACACCCACCAATCCAATTTCTTACCTATTTTTCATGCAGGGTTGTGGGAAGGTGGTGCTGATCTCCAGCAGCCGCTGGACAAAAGACTGCAGACTAGACATGTTCCAAGTGCATCGCAGGGCCGCATAGAGACAAACGAGACATGCACGCTCTCACTCGCACCTAGTCAGAATTTAAAGTTACCAATTAATCCAACATGCATGTTTTTGGTCTGTTGGAAACTGGAGCAGAGCACTCGAAGGCCACACAGAAAGGCTGCAGCTGGGTTTGAGCCTGTGACCTTCTTGCTGCGAGGCGACATCTCTACTGTTCTAGTTGAAGTTTTTGAACGAAGAAATGTGAATTTCAACCACCAACGCAGTCACCAGGTCATTCGAGGACTCGAGCATCTTGGTGAACGTTGCCACAAAATATATATAAACAGAAGCACTATATATATTTATCCTGATGCATGCTCAATAATCCAGGTAGAAAACTATATACACTATATATTTACAGTTTTTCTCCAATAATAAGCAATAAATCTCAGTAATGTGTAACTTATCAAAGCTTGCTTGGTTTTTCAAGCCAGACGTTGAGCAAATTTCAACATTAAAGTGCACCGTTAAGAAGACAGTGGGACACTGGCAAAATCAATGTTTGCTTTAGCTGGTTAAACACACAGGATTGAAAAGCAGCATGTGTGAAGTGTTTTAAGTGTTTTCCTTAAAGTTTGGTAAATGAACGCCACCCCTAGTCTTTTCGCGAGAAATAATGCAGATCAGGTCCACATGTCTGTTGCATCTCTGCTCTTTGGGCATGGACTTCACAGAGCTGTCCTGACTCGCATGCAGCTCCATCATGAAGGCTTCGGTTCTTTCTTTTTTTTTTTTTTTTTTCCTGCTTGCTGGCGTGGAGAGTGTAAGGTTAGCACATTACCAGTCTGGAGCCACAGCGAAGCTCTCATTTTATTCTAATGCCAGAGTATGATGTATGAACGTATGCTCTCTGGAATACAAGTTCAGAAGCACAGCTTCATCTCAGGTCAGAGTGACACAGAACAGGGCTTCTTGCAAAAGTGTTGCAAAAAGCTGGGGGGGGGGGGGAGGCCAAAATGTCTGTGTACTCACTGCATTCCAGGTTATTTATACAGAGAAAAAACTGTAGACTTCATGTCTCTGCTTGGTGAGAACTATTAAATTACTGGTGGATGTTTTTAATTACTTCACATAAATGTTGGAACACAACACTTCTCCAGTGTTTAGAAGAGGAGGGGGGTCCATAATGTCTCACATGTTTAGGGAAGCACTGGCTCGCACTTAATCATGGTGGTCCCTGTGCGATTCTGACGTTGGAAATGTGGCTTTGTGAGGGAAAAGTGAGCATTCCTTCTGCTGGCGCGAGGGAGAGGAAATGGGTAATAAAACCAAAAGGGGGAAGAAAAAAAACCCCCTCATTGGCGGCGTGCTGGAGCCAGTGATTCTGGGATCCACTTAATTGCTCTTAAATGACAAAAAGATTTTTTGGCTTCCCATTGGTTGTGTTTAAAATAAAAGTCAAGTCAAATCCCTCATGTATACCAGCCAAGCGGGGACTTCTCATCCAGCAGTATGAGCTGTAATCCCCTTCTTTTGCTGGTGCCATCGGTAATATTATTATTAATATTGAGATAGCTGCTGCTCACAGTAGGCAGACGCCAGAGGAGGCACAAAATTCAGCTCGTTTTGCTCATTTGCCGAGGCCAGAGAAGTCACTGGGGAAAGGGAATATCAATACAAGTCTGCTGAATATTTTATCTCAGCGCTTTATAAGCTGTCTTCCTGACAAATATTACAACAAATAACCAAGTTTGTTGTGGGATTATTGGGCTTTTTTTTTCATAGCTGTTTGGGATGATTTTGTTTTATTAAAGAATGTGCAGGAGCTTCACAGGAAGTATTCGTGCTGGCATCAAAATACGCCCAAAGCATCAAAAATCAAGACCTCATTGGAAATAAAGGTTGAATGAATGAATGACAGATTGATCACTTTACTGCCCGTCACTGAAAATGAAAGCGCAATAATGTTATTGCCTGTGTGTACATGTTTTATTATTTTTTTGTCTAGCATTAGCAAATTGTCTGGATGAATATCTAAAAGTTCATGTTCAATAATTCAGGTAAAAAATTAATATTGTTCAGTCGGGTCATCTGGACGTTTTTTTGTTTTGTTGTTGAGACGTTTTGTCCTTCATCCAAAGGACTTCATCAGTCCGAGGAGCCACAACAAACTTAGTCCCACAAGTAGCGCACTCGCATAGTGGGCCAACCAGTTTACTGGTGATAAGATGGTTTCTGGGGCCCGCCCTCTCCCCCATCGATTCCTCTGAGGCCGCCATAGCCAGAATGTTCAACACATCAAGTTCATGCTCAATAATCCAGGTAGAAAAATGTTCAGTCAGGTCATCTGGACCTTTTTTTTTTTTTTGTGGAGACATTTCGTCCTTAATCCAGCAGACTTCATCAGCCCAAAGAGCAGTCGCTGGATGAATAAAAAAACGACTATCTTAAATCTAAAACTGAATAACTTTTACAGTGAATCCAATTCCAGATGGCTGTCAAATTCAACTGACCTAAAAATGTAAAAGAAAAACTACACCTTGGATTAATGAGCATGAACTTTGGTGTTTTGAACCATTTTGGCATGAACGCCTCAGAGGAGTTGACGGGGGAGAGGGCGGGCCCCAGAAACCATCTTATCACCAGCAAACAGTTTTTTTC